TGCCATTATCAGACAACAAAGTTTTTTAATATCTTTTCAATAACAGAAGTTTCACTAATTAATAAACGTATTTTTCTAATGTCACAGATCTCTACTAACCTGTTTATCGCCAAACTCCATCTCTCCTTTTCATAAGGGTGCTATATCTTCCTCATGGTGACGTGGATGAGAAACACTTTATTGAGAAATACTTTCTCAATACAACATAGGCCTGCATCAATCAGACAGGAAGGTCTATTTTGCTGTCCTGCCTACCCTTCCTGCTGCATCCGTGTGGGACTACTGCCATAACACGCACCTTTTCTCCCCAGTAGGACTATCAGTTTGACATCACATTCATCATTTGCCACAAAAAACCTACAGAAGAGCACTCTCTACCCCTTTCTGTGTTTCACGGAAACTAACTCTTGGTGGCCACAGGAAAAAGCAACGGCCTCAATTCAGACTTGTTTCTGCATTACCAGATCCTCCACCTGACACTTCCTTTGGGAGCCTTTATACCACAGACAGAACTGCACAGACCCATGGAAATCCACTTTTTCTTCATCCTTTCTCTCTCACAGATAGACAGAATGAGACATCAAAACTATTTAGGAAGATGTTTGACAGGTAACGAGGGGACAAGTTTAATTTCTCCTCTCCTTTTTATTTTTTTTTTACCTTTTTTAAACACACAGCACTGGAGATACGCTGCTCTAGTAAGACAGCAGAGCATGACAAGACAGGCAGCAGTACTTCAGTTTGGAAATACAACTGCTGCTTTAATCCATCTAGGTCAGTCAATGATCTTAGAGAAGAAGTGGTAACACCTGTACCAGAGCAAGCTCTGCTTGCAAATGCTCCACCACAGCATCCTGACTCCTTCTTAAACCATTTAATTCACCTCAGCACATGTGTGACCAGGATGGCTTCTCCCCTGACCAGCACAACACCACATGCTGCCGACACATCTCCCAGGTGAATGCACTGAGCACACAAGATGTGACAGTGTGACAGGAAAATGGGATTCCTTTAAAAAGCAGGACAATAAAAACACCACTCTGCAACCTACTTCAGTTAGTCCTGAAGCGTAAGTACTTGCTTTCATTATGCCACCTGTAGAAGGCAGGACCTGCACACATTTTCAGCTTGAGCTCACAGTCAGGTCCGGCCTCTTGCCTGACTCCAGCCCCACAGTCACTTCTGGACGAGTTAGGCTGTATCTCACAGCCTGATCACCCAGAGCATAGATAAAGGAGAAGAGGAAGAGGCTGCTTGCAGCATGTTGTGGACACTTATTACATAACAATGCTGAAAACTAAGTCCATCAGCTACCGACTACACGTGTAAATACCACCTACAGCATGGCCACTCTTGCTCATGGAGTTGATCCCACCAAGGGTGCAAACTTCAGCTAACTGCTGCGGCTGACACAGCTCCAGAGCTCAGTACAACAACCCACAGTCTCACATGTCAACAGGTGTCACGTCCTTATTCAAAATATTTATTTAGCCAGATTTCTGCTATTATTCCCAGGCCAAGATGGTCCCATAAAGCAAGGCCAAGATGGGATCGGATTCAGCGAGCTGCCTAAGAGCTCTTTTAAGAGCACAAACATTACTTCAGCGTATAAGCTAAAGAAAGAATGGCACTGTTGGAGCCTCTTGACTAATTCTCCTGTTTATATCCAAATAAGAGAGCACTGTGAAACCTCACTCTCCCCTTGGCAAGCTATGAATTTCACTTGAATGCAGCCAACCCCTATAGATGGGACCTTGTGGCTACCCAACAAAAGATTTTGGCCAGAAAGGGTACCAAGGACATGTGGTTGAAAGCAGACCAGAAGCACAACAAGGGTTTGTGCATGCACTGACATCTTGGGAAGATGAAGCACTTGCCTGGGCAGAATGAAAATAAGCCTCCTCAGGCATGAGGAAGAGCCCGCACAAGCTTCCTCTGGGACGG